TTACTGGCACAGGTCGCATGCACACATAACGTGGACACTTAACACAGACACGTTTCAGGAACAGGTCACTTGCACACATAACGTGGACACGTAACACAGACACGTTACTGGGAACAGGTCGCATGCACACAATAACGTGGACACGTAACACGACACGTTGCACAGATATCTGCTTTGTATCGGGTAACGTGATATACACAAGTACGTGCATAATCATTGTTATTATTTGTTGTTATTGTTTATAGAGCAGGAGAGTTTGTAATAAATCGGACAGTTGCGTTCGGCGGAGAAGCAATTGTTATTGTTCTATTGTATACAGTGAAGGGAGAATTGCAAGTGGGACTGGCAGTGTGGCGAATGGGCAGGCCTGCAGTGTTTGTGGAAAAGGCTGTGTTTTGTAAAACAAAAAGAAGCATGCAAATAAAAATGGGGAAAATTTCAGGGTGAACAATAAAAAATAGGAACTCCCAATGCAGACCATTAGCTTGTTTCCCCCGTACGTGAGTCCTCGTAAACATTTGATAAATAAAACTGTTATTCTTATCTTATATCTTATGTACATTTGCACAACGTGACGCAGAACACAGCAGAGGACCGATCACGTGATGAATTAGTAATGAAGCACGTGGCAGGGGGTAATACATCTTACCTCCAATCAACAGCGGTTCTAACTGAAACCACCGCACGCCAAGACCAGTGTGTGTGACATTTACGGGTGAGCCTTATAGCACGTCACGTGTAGGTAAAAGTCCGACTGACCGCGTATAAATAGTGAGCTTTACGCATAGTCATTGTTTGGTCAGCAAGTCAAGTTGACATCAGGAGCAGCAGCTGGTAAGGTAAGCCTACGTTTACATTTATCTATAATTTAATTTAAATTCTCTGCGGATCTATATACGCCGTGTTTAATAAGTATTCTAGTAAAGATTTTCATTCGAGTCCTGACGTTCTTGAACTGGAACATGGACTATTCCGCTGTCGATATCGTATTGATATAATTGTGTGGGCAAATCGGTGTTCTCTACATTACTGGCATGGATTTGACGTTAGAACCAGGAAGGGCTTGTTTTGTGCTTTTGTAGTATTTAGTAAAGATTCTCAATTACGAGAAGCGACGTTCTTCTTCTTTACTAGTTCGCTGTGATATCGTCACTGCTAATATTCTCGTACGCTACTGGCTTCAGCGTAATGAGAACCCACGGCCTGGCGCTTGTGACATTTGGGCGGCTCCCGTGTAAAGCTTCGTTCCGTTTCTCTGTGTAGTACAGATACAAAGAGTTACTCCACAGGCAATTACAGCATCATGTCAAGCTGGTCATCCTTCTTCGTGAGCGGTGTGGTCATCGCCGTAACTCCCCAGCTCACCCACACAACGCCATCCGTGTCCGTCGATGCACGTGCTGGGAGAGTGAACATGCATCCATTCCCGCACAACGCTAGCCCTAGCAATTGTCTGCGATGGTCACGATATGTCCAGCAGCGAAAGCGCTTCAGGCGTCATGGAGGCGTTGCCACCGTGACGTCACCTACGCTAGCATCGGACTCGGCATGGGTTCGACTGACAATGGAGGAGGTGCCAGAGAACGTCTTTCAACGGCCTGAACTTTGATCAACGGTTTCGGTTGAAGATTGATGAAAGTGGGTGGCGACGCCACGGGGTGGCGCCAAGTCGCTGCATCCCTGCCGTCTTTCGCTGGCATTGATCACTTGGACGAACTCGTGCTATTCCTACTCAAGCTTGAACTCGACGTGGCCAAGGGTCATCTTCCCTATCTATCAGAAACAGCGTCGTAACCTTAACCTTCCACATGCTGCTTGTAGTTTCTTTGCTACTTTAATTTTCTTGCTATCATACTTTCCTGTGTCGTTCGTTGAAGGCAACGTGGCAGTTAGCACAAAACACCCCTATGAGGCGATATAGCAGTTACGTCAGCTTCTTAAAAGAAACCCCAACATTCGGGTGGCAACAACTATATTATCGTAAGACGCTTTAATGCGAGTGTAATGAGTATAAGGTTGTAAACTCACCTCATAGCAATAACCGGCGCAGAATAATATCGTGATCCCGGGGATGTCCAGGCTACCAGATCGAAAAAACGCCCACAAATTTCGGCATCCTGCACTGCAACAACAATGCATTCAATTCTCGATTTCCCCCCCGGATGATTCCAATCTTGGAAACAACCTACCCGTGGGTGTTGTGGAAGCAAACGGACGTTACATTTTAAAGATCAAAGGATG